GGTGATGGTGATGGTGATGGTGGTGGTGATGGTTGATGGTTGATGGTGTGGTGATGGGGATGGTGATGGTGATGATGATGATGATGATGATGACGAGGAGTAGGAGGAGGAGGAGGATGGAGGATGGGACAAAAGGAGGAGCAGGCCGGAGGAAGAGGAGGAGGCAGGGGAGGAGAAGGAGGCGGGGTAGGAGGAGGATGAGGAGGAGGAGGAGGCGGAAGACGGAGGGAAGAGGAGAGGAGAAGGAGCGGGGAGGGAAAGTGGAGGGGGAGGAGGATGAGGACGAGGAGGAGGAGGAGGGGGATGAGGGGAGGAGGAGAAGAAAAGGAGGAGGAGGAGAGAGGAGGAGGCAGGAGGAGAAGGGAGGAGGAGCGACGGAGGATGGGCGGAGGAAACACAGAAGGAGGAGGAGGAGGCATCGGTGGAGGAGGAGGAGAGAGGAGGAGGAGGAGGAGGTAAGAGCGAGGGAGAGGAGGAGGGGGGGAGGAGAGGGATGGGGGAGGGGAGGAGGAGGAGGAGGAGGAGGAGGAGGAGGAGGAGGAAGAGGAGGAGGAGGAGGAAGAGGAGGAGGAGGAGGAGGAGGAAGGTGGAAAAGAAGGGGACAAGGAGGGGAGGAGGAAGAGTAGGAGGTGAGGAGGAAGAGGAGGGGGGAGAGAGGAAGAGGTGTCGTTTTCGGCCTATTCGGGCTGCCTGGGCGCGAGGCTTGCCCTAAAGCATTTCGAACCACGACCCGCGAAACTCGACGAAGAACTGAAGTGCATTCAGCCTTCGACCCCCCCGTCCGTTGTTTGGCCGTCGCCCCAAATTAAGCTAGAACCTCAGCGCGCGTGGCGCGCGCGGTTCTAGTGCGTGTATATATATATATACACACATGGATCCCAGCTCGCTTTTGCAGCCGGTGCCCTCTCCCATCCTCCAGGTATTGGCCAGCCTAGGATTGTTAATGGACCTGCGGCGGGGGGGTAGGCCTGCTCATGAGTGTTCATGAGGTGGAGGAAGGCCAAAAAATGGAGGCGTCCACGGCTTGTGTTTTCGCAGTCACGCGGTTCTCGGTCGCCTTGCAACATGTGTATGCAAGGGGTCAGCTTACTTCTTGTCTGCATTCATGTCTTGACGTTCAGATTGGCTCGCATATTGAAGGATGGTGGGCGCGTACGTTCAGGGTACAGTGTGATGTCTTCCTCGTTTCTCTGCTCCCCACTCGTCCGCGCCAGCGTCTTCGTTTCACTAGGGAGAAACGGGCGATGACGGTCCCGCGGCAGGACAGCCTGCCGACTCCAGAATCGCATCTCTATCGTCGGCATTGCGTCATTCGTATGTTGATATATGAAACAAGCTCCTGACGTTCCTGAAGACACCGTCGTATGACTGTGGCTTGTGGCCGCTTGGGTTCAAGCTACATTGCACCTCAGGACGCCTCTCGCCCCGCGCAGAAAAAGGGGCCCCACGCCAGGCCCATGGTGGTCCCCCCAGCGGCGCCCGCCAGAACAGTGGGCAACGTGGGCACCACCAGGGAAGAGTTGAGGGAGGAGGAGATGGAGGCCATGGTGCCGGCAGACCTCGCCAGCCTCGAGCTTGAGGCGCAGAGAGTCGCAAATTCGTCGCCTCCACCTCCGTCGACTGGCACCGTGGCGTTCGGGATCGGCCTGTACGCCGCGTGCTCGTCGACACTGCTTGTCATTAACAAGGTGGCAATGGTCTATCTTCCCGACGCGGCGTTCGTCCTCTTCTGCCAATTCGTCTCCTCATGTGTGGCCGTGCGGCTGCTGAAGTGCGCTAGCCCGTCCACAGACATCGAGCTTCTCTCAGCGAAGAAGTCGAAGAAATTCGTTTTGGCCACTTTGGTGTTCTACGCGTGTCTGCTGTCGAACACGCAGGCGCTACAGTACGTCAACGTTGAGACGGTGATCGTGGCTCGCTCGTGCTCTCCCATAGCGGTGGCGCTGCTCGACCACGTGGCTCTCGGACGCGATCTGCCGAATCTGAGGGGTGCCCTGGCTCTGGTCTCCATTGCAGGCGGGGCCTTCATTTATGTGTTGGTGGACCAGGGTTTCAAGATCAAGGGTTACTCCTGGCTAGCACTGTACTTTGTCTTCATAGTCGTGGAGATGGTATTCGTGAAGTTTATTGTGGAGACAGTCCCGATGTCCACGTGGACGCGGGTATATTACAACAACGCCCTTTCTATACCCATGGCTATATTATCGTCTGTCGTGGCAGGGGGCTCTGTCCTGTTCGCCACGACTCTAACACCTGGTGCCATATGTGCCGTCGGTCTGTCATGCATAGTGGGAGTGGCTATATCCTATGCTGGGTTCAACTTGCGCAGTCTGGTGTCCGCCACGAGTTTCACTGTCGTTGGGGTCGTTTGCAAGATCTTCACCGTGTTATTGAACGACATGATCTGGACACAGCACTCGAACGCGACTGGGCACCTCGGCCTGCTCATCTGCATCGCGGGCGGCTTCGCGTACGAACGTGTAAAGGCAGGGAAGTAGTACGGGCGGACGGGCGCTTCCAGCCTCCTCTCTCGATGAAGAAAACTGCAGAAGCATAAGCTTTGGGAGCTCTGCGCGGTTTTCTTGGATATGCGCTTGGCGCGCGGAGCGCGCCACGGGGGGCGGCGCCAGACGTGCCGCCAGGGGGCCCCAGCGCCGATCCAAGAAGTTTGCGCGGAGCTTGGAAAGCGTGCAGTTCTGCAGCTTGTTGCTCCTCCATCCTTGCTCGAAATCGAGCGCAAGTTTTCCCCGCGACGTGGCGGCGCCCCAGGACCCCAAAGTTTCAATGCTCGCGCCGAAACTGGGGACTACAAGCACAACAATCGGACCCCGCGGGCCGCGTTTCGCGCGTCGATCGACACTCGAAACTTGCGCTTGATATCGAGGAGGGTTGTCGGTTCTCTGCAGCCCTTTGCCCCGCCATTCGCCACCTCCCTGCCCGCTTCCCCCTTCCCCTCCTGCCCGCGCCGCCCAGAACCGCGCGGGAGGCCCGGCCCGCCCAACAAGGAGGCGCGGAGGAGAGCCGGGAGATGGTCTGATCAGGTCGTTGGCCGCTGCACGGAGAAGCAGAAACCCTCCTGCCCCACCTGTGCTCGTTTCCTTCTTCATTCTTTCGCCGATCGGCGCGGGCCCTCGCACCCCCTCACCCCTCCATGGAGTATGTATATCCTGGCTGTTTTCGGCGCCTGTCTCAAGCAGGTGGAGTCCCCCCCATAAGACGCACTGGCCAGACCCCCCCCCCTCACTTCTGCCCAACGTCGGAACGCCGAAGAAGAAAACATGCACGTTCCCCCCTTCCTCCAGGAGAAGGGGCACAAAGACCGGTTCGCCAGGCGCGTGGGCCGCAGATTCGCAGCCTGGCTCGCAAGGAAGTCGATGGCGAGACCGCGATTTGAGAAGTAATTGTGAGGAAGTATCAGGCGGAGCCCTTGTTGTTGTGACTCGGGGGCCAAGGGCGCAGCTTGGTGACACCCAGCTCTCCCTTGAAGGAAACAGGGTGCGAGCCCCAGGAGGAGCACTTCACTTGAAATATGCAATGGTTACCGGAGGGGGATCAACAATAATTGTTTTTAACTGAGAACCGAACAATAAGCTTAAGACTGATCGCTCCTATCTTCTCGTGTGCCATTCAACACGTATATCCCAAACCCTCGGTAACCGCCCTCTTCGTCTTCGATCGTGCCCCCCTTAGGGGGCATATCTTCCTAACCTGCCACGTGCAATTAGCGCAGGCCTTAAAACACGGGAAGAGAGGACGATTATATTATATGATATTTGTTCTACCTTCGTGCGTGGGCACCAGCTGCAAGGCGGGGCGCGCTACGCAGACTCATAGGTCAGGGAGCTTCCCGCCAGACTTAGGCGGAAGCCCTCGCCTCAATCGGCTGGGCGCGTCTTTACCAGCACGCGCGAGTGGCTGGCATTCGGTCCTCACAGACCGTAGGTTCTCCACGCCGTGGCACCCACAAACCTCACAAAGCAAAGCACCCCTGAAAGTGGCCAAGCGATGCGACTCATGGCTCTGCTCTGCCACAGGACGATCCGTGCCCCCACCCACTCCCGCCGCCCGAGGACCAAAAAAATCAGGAGGAGGAGAAGGCTCTCTGCTTGGGCAGGCAGGTGCAATCCTAGGAGGAAGAGTCTAAATTCGCTGATTCGTCTCAGCGCGAGGCTTTCAAACGGAAGGCCAGCATTCCAACTTGCACAACTCACACTTGAACACAGTGGCATTCGTTCTACACTGGTGCACCCGTCTCGGAACCAACACAACCGCTCGTCAACGGACCTGGCACCAGTCCGTGTACGGGGCGCATTCTTTTCATTCCGGTCCCGATCCGAGGAAACCAAAATTTCACGTTGGACAGCGAGGAGGCGGTCTAAGACTTTGAAAGCCCGTCCATCGGCTAACGAAGTCAAGGACGCTTGCTCATCAGTCACCTGGCTAGCCTCAACGGCTTTCCCAGATCCGCGGCGCTGCTCGGATAAAACTTTACATCACGAGTGCACACACTAAGGGTCTGAGCCTGGGTGGGGCGCCCCATTGGTCCATCGAACATCGATAATGCCACCCCGAGTCCTGAGAACCCCATGGTATTCTTCCCACAGGTCAAGCATGGACGATTTCATCTTGGCACGCAAAGCTTTCCGAGACCCACGCACAACAACCAGATTGTCGCAAAACACCTTGGCATTGCCCGCAGACCTTTTAGCCAGCTGGACGAGGGCGAAGACTTCAGCACGACCTGCAGTCTGCGCCTTAGTGGGCAACGTACCAGAAGCGACTGCATCAAACATGCCAGCTGCGCCTTGGTGGACGATGGCACATCCGCATCTCCTCAATCGCCAATCCTCATTCCTAACTCCCCCCGGCCAATCAATTCCCCAAACTCCCCCATTGATCTGATTTCCACCAACGAACCTCCCCCGTTCCCAATACAGTACAAGCGTTGCGGTTCAGGCAGGTGGCAACAACTGGCACTGAGAGGAAGGAGACCGCGGCAACAGAAGCTGGAAGAGGCGAGGGAACTGCCGGCCTCAACTTTCAAATCTTCAGATCGGGCGATCGCGCCATCCATCAGCTGATCATTGCATCTGCACGACCAAAATCGATGGACCGCACTCTCAGGAGAAAGGCCGCACCAAGGGCATAGCCTGCTGGTAGCAGTGTCATAGCCAGCCTTAGCAAGTTCCCCCTCTGGCCAAAATCCGCGGTCATGATGTTCGTCAAGATTCCAGCGGCCTCATAGGCCCCGTCATTTTCAAGGTGCCCCAAAAATTGCCGAGGAACAGTGAAATCAACTCCCCCCCCAAACCTGATCACTCGTAACGTTTAGCTGCCCCGCTCCAAGAGAGGTCACCACAAATGGCTCGAAGTTCACGCCACAGAGTGCGAGGAAAAGCATGATCACTGAACTTGAGCTGCGCGCCTGTCGGAAGAAGCCAGAAAACTGGGCCGCGCGGCATCGCGCCGACGTCAAGTACGGCCACAGTAGCAGCCAACGGTCCTCGAACGCACTGCCAACGGTGTTTGGCCATGCGAAGCCTGTCATGATAGTAGTCCAGTCGATGGCAACGTGCATACTTTTCTGATGGTCCGAATCGATCCAAACATCGCGGAAGGCCATCCACTGTTCATACCGAGGCCTAAGCTGGGTGTCACCCGTGGCAGCGCTGACCAATCCGAGCACCGCGGAGGCGCGGGCCCCGGGACTCCACCACCCCGAACACGTGGCCGCTTGGGCCCGCAGGGACCGCACCTGCCCCAAAGTAGGCCCAAGGACGCGGTGGCTCCAGGAGCCGACAGCCAGGGCCCCAGGTCTGTAGAGCTCCTTGGCCCTACCCACAAGTGTGCTCAAACGAAACACTTCATTGGCCTCTCTTGGAGGCCTGGAGCCTGCGTTGCCCGAGCTTGGCAATGCAACGACGCATTCCTGCCGTGGGCACGACCCCCAGATCTCGGGCAGCTTGCGAGAGCTGGATGGGAAGCCCCGCGGCACGAAAGCGCACGGACAACTCGCGCCCTGCATCACCATGGCTACGTAGCCAGGCCGATGTGGAGGAGATTGCGCGCCCAACTCTCTCCAACTGATAGGGGGGAATCCACAGCCGCGGGTACAACAGCCTTCAAAATGGCATCCCTCGTGCCATATTGCGATTGAGTCAGATCATCCACTTGCGCGCGAGTCAAAAGCGGAGCGAGAGGTATGAGTTTCCTCCGTGTGTCGCATACATATATATATATATACACACACTCACACGTGGCATGGACTGCATACAACCCGCCAAAATACTACGACCAGGCCCCAATGTATCAGATGCAAAACCCTCAACTTCCAGAATACGTGGCGCCCCGTGACTCAAGATACCAAGGTACAGGAGGTGGAGAGGGCAGTCCATCTTAGAGGCCAGCGAGATTATAACTTAGCAGGCTGCACACTGTCAAATCAATCGCTTGAGGTCCCAGTGCGCGCCCACGGAGCAGAGACCAAGCTCGCGGGCAACCTCGTGCCCAAGTTCACAAAGTAAGGCCGCTTGCAATTCACTAGGCTCCCTAACAGCGGCGCCCCAAAAATTATACAGTCCAAGAGTCCAACGGCCCGAGTCATGATTCCTGGTTTTGCAGTAGATCCTACACAAGGTCGGGCACTTCCAAATGGGCCTATCACACTCAGTGTTTTTTGGGAAACAGGGCAACAACCCCAAATTGAAAGTGACCAGGCCAGGACAAGCGAGCCTCGCACAGATTGAGGAGATGAGAGTGCCCCATCACAGCGTCCCTAGGCAGGTCGACCAGGGCCCCTCAAGACCAACCGTCCACCCCAACAGCAGTGGTAGACGAAAAACATCGAGCAGCCCGCCGGACATCCCTTACGCGAATGGAGTCGAGCAATTCGGCGGCAGTCAACGACTAAGGTCTGAGATGGCCCAGCGCTTCCGAGAGAGTTTCACGGCCCCCTGGGGCTTCCCACACCAAGGTCCAGAAATCTTGCCGAAAAGCCACGAGGTTCCGAGGGAGCTGTCGGACCCTGTCAGAGGCCAATAAAGCTTGGGGGGGTATCCCCAAAATCATACTTCAACCGGGCGTGGACTGTGTTGGCCCCCTTCGGCAACGCTTTGCGGAGCCAGTTCTTCGTCTGCCGCCTCGGTGCCCGGCGAGCCGTCTTCCAAGCAGCTCTCAGAGACGATGAAATGACCTCAGTCAGGGCATCCAGCCCTTCCATCACCTTAGGGGGCGATGACAGATGAGAGCGCCACCAGGCAATGCCACGCGCGTCCTCTGGACCAAGAACCTTGTACAGCTGGGAAGCTAAGCCGAGGAGGACGCCAGCTAAGGAGGCGTTCAGTTCCGCGCCAGGTAAAGCCGAGATTCCCAAATTTCCTGAGAGCTGAGACCAGAAAGCAAGTTCAGGTTCCCGACAATTATGGCCAGCAGGGCCCCTTCTTCCAATCGTCGAACGCTTGAACTGAGGAAAATCACCTCGCTTTACCCTGCTCCCCCGAAAATCACAGGCAACCGCACGGGGCTCAAACATGGCCTCGGTCACATCATGCGAAAGATGAGCACGGACATGAGGCACCAGCGCCTCAGACAGAAAAGATGGCACATCAATGCGCGCAGAATCAGGAATGCGCTCGAGACCCCGAAGCCACGGCATGCCAGACCCATAACATTCAGGCAGGGCGACAGGTCGACATCGCTGCCACATGGTCTGCTCCAATGTCGGGAAAAGAGGACAGATGGAAGGGGGGGGGCGAAGGATGAAGCACGAGAGAAATTTGCAGGAGGGGGGCTAGGAGCAGAAAACACGTGGCAGAGGCAGACGGGCAGATAAAGCGGGAAGACCCATAGCAGGCGGATCGGGAAGGCGGGCCCTGGCGGCCAGGTCGAGCGGGCGGGTTGCTGAAGCGTGCGTCCTGCATGAATCGCGAGGACGTCTCGAGCGACAGCGCGATTCCGAGAGAACGGCCAAAGCGAGAACGTGGTTCTTGAGTGTCGAGGGCGAGGC